CCATAGAGACTGGTTTGTTTGTGGTTGCAGAGACTTGAGGCAGGCTTGGGAGAACATGGGACTGTGCTTCTCCTGCCTGATGCAGAGGCAGGCAGCATCACCAGCTTTCCCCCAGCACCCCTGACTGTCCCCAAAATCCCCAGCTTCCTGCAGCAATCCCAGTTGCCCACAGCTCCCCCAACTTCCTGAGGCATCTCCAACTCCCCACAGCATCCACTTCCTCCTTGAGCTCATCCCCAAGACAGGGCACACCAGAAATACCGAACAAACCTTGTGACATCCCCCTCTACTCCCCTGGGGGAGCTCAGCACGTCTGCCCAGATGTTTTGAACCACAGACACAAAGCCCACATCACTTTTGCCCCAAGCACACAGAGGGAAAAGCCCTGCTCCTGGGGGAATGGGTGCATGGCCAAGGCTGGGGACCTGCCACCCCAGGCCGGATCCACCCAGCATTTCAGACAGGTCAGATCTAAAGGCTTTGCTTTGTTTCCTTTTAAAATCCCTCCAGCACGTGGGAAGGCAGATGCTGAGAAGCTAAATCCCAGCAGCATTCATGAATGTGCTCTCTCCTGCCAGCACCGGATGGGATATTCCTTCCAGGCACTCGCAGCAAGCTCCAAGCACGCTTACAGCTCTCCTCCCTCAAGCAGACTTGCTTCCCCAGCTGCAGCCCCTCACAGCCATCGGGACCCCCATCCTCGCTCTGTGGGTGGCCGACCCCCTCCTCTGCCAGTGGTGGGCAGCAGGGTGGGAGCCTGGGGCTGGCACACATCTCAGTCAGGGTGCAGGATGTGGGTTGGGGGGGAAAGCCAAGCACAGGAGCTGAGCTCTGCTTATTAAAGGGTGCACAGAGTGTCTCCGTGGAAAAGGCTCCGGGCTTGGCCAGCCCACGCAGTGCTCAGATGCAGCAGACGAAGCGGGGTTCCCGTGAGAGATGGGGTGGCTGAGAGGTGTCCAAATGAGCAGGGTGCCCTGCTCGCATAGCAGGGCTCTGGGTGGAGGGCTGCAGCAGTGGAGCCCCTCAGCAGCCTCCACACCTCCCTCCTGACTGGCTACCCTGGAAACATATCCTAAATAAAGCTGGAATAGGATAAATAAATGCATCCGGAGGCCAGTGGGTCAGCCAGCACTGAGGAGAGCAGCCCTGCACCAGGAGGGATGGGGACCATGGCTGCATCAAAGAGCAGCCCTTGGGCTGTGAGGGAAGGAAAGAAATTAATTTTTCTTATTTTTTCTCCACCCCAAAGCCCCCCAAAGCCTCCAGCTCCTCATGGTGGGCACTTAGGAAAGGGCAAGGGCAGCTCCTTGCTGTAAATGGAGCTGGGGCACCCTGGCACTGGCTCCCCACAGCTAAAGCTGCCTTTGGGGGAAGAGCAAGGCTCCCTCCCCAGCAGCACAGGATTTGGTGCATAACCAGGCTGCCAGCCCTGCCCGGAGAGCGAAGGCACCGCTCTGTGCTGGCTCTGCCCCTCCACCACTGAGCCACATGTTGGCTGGGAAAGGGAAAAACAAATCCTCCCCTGCTGCCAGGGCCTGGCTGAGGAATGGGAAATGTGCTGGCCAGATGTGGGGCACGAGGCTGTGCTCAGGGCTCCAGCAAGGGGGGGCAGCTGAAACCACCTGTGGCAGGAGCACCGGGGCTGCCATGCAGAGGGGATGTTCCTCTGGATAACACATGAGGTTTCAGCCAGAGGCTGTGCTTTCCTCATTGGAGGGTGGAAAAACAAGGATAATTTAAAAAGTTGTGGGGGTTTTCCTCTGTCCTCGCCGTGGTTTGTTTCGGATATTTTCCCACCAGCCTCCTGCCTATGGAGTCAGGAGCAGACCCTGAGCATCCCTGAGGTGGAGGATACTCAGGTTGCTTGGAACCATTTCGTTGCTCAAGCCGTACTTGCTGCCCTCATCCAAGCTGATGTTCCCCTGGCAAACACTGGCTCATTCCCCATGCCCCAGTGAGCAAAGCAGACCTGGGGTTGAGAGCCAGAAGCAAAACCAGGGATGCCTGTTGGTGAGTTGGAGGTGGTTCTGGTGGGCTGGAGATGGTTCTAGTAGGCCAGAGAGGAGTGCACACATTCAGCCCACCATCATGTCTCCATCATGAATTATGATGGAGACAGTAAAGATCAACCTCTGCCCTGAAGGCCCAAGCCATTCACCCCTTTGTTCCTCCATTAGCCCATAAAAGGGCCAGGAGAGGGGAATGCTGAGGACAGACACAGAGAAAAGCCTCCCAGAGTCCTCAGCAGACCCCAAGATAAAGAGCAGGAAAGGAAATACTTGGCAAAATTGAATCTGTGCGAATCAGCCAGCCTAACTAATATTTAACCCCCAGACAAAACAGAATTAGCTAATGAACTTACCAAGCCCCTGGTAATTACTCAGGAAAAGTTACTGAAAAAACAGCACATCCCAGGTTTATTTAATGTCTTTATTAATGATCTGAAAGCAAGAGTAAACAACAAATTAATTATGTTTGCAGATGACTGTAAGCTGGAAGGTGTTGTAATGCTGCCAAAGACGGCAAAGTCAAACGGAGGGCCCTAAAGGGGTTAGAAACAACCTGGCAGGAAAGAAGCTGCACGTAATCCATCAGCAAAAGATGGCACAGGGCGAGGGGAAAAGGACCTGAAATCCACACATCCAGGAGGAAGGAGGAATGTGGTGTTCAAGAGCCAAGGACGATGGGAGCACCTTTGGAGGGGGATGGAAAGATGGGATATGAGCAAGGAGATCTCTGAAACCCAGAAAGAAGTGGGGAGCCAGGCTGGTGGGATGCTGTTGTCTCCAAAGGGTTGTGACCTTTTCCTGAACACGTGTGGAATCAGCTTTGCACCACAAGGAGAAGCTGGAAAGCTCTTTCTCCAGTGTTGTGCTAACACAGTTGGAGTGTTATGAACCCTGAAAGCCGAGGGTCGTCCTGATTGCCAGCTGAGAGAGGTGCGAGGTTTGGAGACCCACTTTGGGAAGGGATGGGTAAGGGTGGCTTTGGGATCGAGCCACTTATCTGGGTCCGTGTAGACAGCAGGAGCTAGCTTTCCTCCCAAAAAGTGCCTGGTGCCAGAAGTTTTCTGGACGCACTACTTCGCCCGGAGCAGGCGGTGCCTCCAGAGCCGCCTCTCGCACCCTACGTGGGGCTCCTTCCCTGCTCCTCCCACTCCTCGCCCCGGCACGAACAAGGCGCCTTTCAGGAGCGGGTGGGTGGGTGGCGAGGGCCTTTAGCCCTTTAAGAGAGAAATCTGACGTTGTAATCTGAGCGAACTTCTCCTTTCTGACAGGCGGGAGAAGTTACAGGTCCCTCCCTCGCTCCGCTTTATTAAATATAGTAGTAGCAGCAGCCCTCGCCTGGAAGCAGGCAGCGGTGGAGGCTGTGCTGTCCCGTCCCGGAGCCCTCGCCGCTGCTCCAGCCCCGAGGGATACCATGGGTGCCCGAGGTGGCATCTCCACACTGCTGCTTCTGCTGCTGCTGCTGCTGGCCGGCTACTCCCAGCCCCTGGGAGCGGGACTCCCGGCCGGAGGTAAGCGCCGTCCATCCCGCCAGCCCACCCGAGGGATGGAGCGGTGGGAAACCCTGGGGGATACGGCTGCTGGGAGGGCTGGGGAACGAGAGGGGACTGGGGTGGACACCCATGGATGTCCCTCCTGTCGCCAAGCTGGCAGAAGCAGCTTGCCTGTCTTGTGGCACGGTGTCCGGGGAAAGCCAAGGGCGGGAACGGGGCTGCTCGCCCACCGTGGCTCTCGGGGTGCTGGTGCCTCTGTGTCCCTTCCCAGGGGGACACGCAGATGTGCTGCTGTGTGGTATGGGGCTGGGGGGAGCCACAGGGCTTTGGTTGGCGCCATGGGCAGCCGGTGGGAGAAAGGCACCGCCCCTGCTCCGCCAAGCCCCGCGAGCTTCAAGATGACATTTTAAAAATATCCCTCACTTTCATTGAACTGTTTTCTCCAGGTTTTTTTTAAGTTTTCAGCTCTATAAAAGATTCTCCAAGAAAATAGTAGCATTTAGAGAGATGAGGGTACAACTTGAACTGAATCTTGCCACTTCTGTGAAGGATAACAAAAGTCCTTCTACAGATACATCAATAGCAAAAGGAGGGGCAAGGAAAACCTCCATTCTTTACTGGCGTCGTGGGGAGGGAGCACGCCAACCCTCCCTGCCATGCTTGGCCTTGCCACCGTAGCTGTCTGCGAGGGCAACCCCTCTTCATCCCAGGAGCAGGGGTTTGGTGGGAAGAAAGGAGCTGGAGCATTTGCCAGTGTGTGTGTGACCTCCTGGCTCTGCTCCGTCCATCTGTGCTGTGCACTGGGGTGGCTGGTGGTGTGGGGTAAAGGGTGAGGGGCTCACCTCTCCCACCAGCACAGCCCCAGAGGTGTGCAGGATCACCCCTGGAGTGACAGGGCACCGAGGGCCAGCTGGGGATGAGGGTCACCCCCATGGTGACACAGGGCAGGCTGACCCCGGGGACCTGGGAAGACATGGACCCTGGGGACCTAGGAGAACACTGGCTGCTGCATGGGGTTAGAGCTAGACAGAGGGGTTACTTCAGGACAGAGCGGTTGGGATTTGTATCCAGTTTTACAAAAGAAGCAACCAGGTTTGCCCATCCAGTTCTTGGCATGGCTGTGTGCCCTGCCTCAGCATCCTGACAGCCATCCCACAGCTCTGGTCCCTCCCTGCTCCAGGATGCTCAGAGCTGCTACTGTCTGAGCCTCAGTGGGCTCTGCAGGTCTGGACAGGGGTCTCATCCTGCTGGGATGGGTCTGTGCCTTACTTAGCCTGACCTTCCAAGCTGTGCCTGAGATATCTGACTGATGCACTGCGTCAGCAGCACCAGCAGCTTCAAAAGTGAAGGGAATTTAAAAAGCACTTTTATTTCCCTAACTCCCCCCCAAAATACTATATCATCTCACTGAGCAGTTTCTCTTCCCCAAAGCTCCCTCCAGGTACCAGGGCTCTGACCAGCAGGCAAGAGCTTGCTCCAAGCAGTTCCCAAAGAATTACTGGCCACCTCTAAACTTTTGCTCCTGGTCATCTTTTGCATCCCAGCCTGTGTCAGTGCAAGGAGGAGGAGGAGGAGGATCCCAGAGCCCAGCCTTGTGGCCCTTGGCACCTGCAAAGTCCCTGTATGTCCCTTCATGTCCCTCTTCTCTCCCAGTGAGCAGGTGGCCACTGGGACATGCTTCTCTCCTGACCTCAGGCCTTGTTCCTTCTGGGTTTTTTCTGTGTACCAAAATAGGAGGGTGCCTGGCAAACTGAGTGGAAAAAAATCCCTTTTGTTATGCACAGAGTGGTCTCCTTCCCAGCCCTGACCTTTCCATCCTGGGCGGGGGTTTTCCCAGGTGGAACCGTTGCTTGCCTGGTGTCCAGAATGGGTCCCAGGGCTACCCTAGCACTCCTGAACTCTTTCATGGTGAATGGGCTGGAGCAACCCTAAAAAAGAGCACATGGCCTTCACTGGCACATGCCAACCCCCCCAGACTCCCCCCAAGTAACACTACCCATGGCTGGGACACAGCTCCAGGGATCAACGGGCATCTGCCTGGCACAGACATGTGGGGCTGGGGAAGAAAAGAGGTTTTACACCCATTTTCCGATGCCAGGGACTATTTCTGCACTGGACTGAAACAGATGTGCCAGCTGTGACTCTGGGTCTGGGCACCAGCTTCCCACAAGCCCCATCCCCTTGAGAACATCCCTGATGAGACCAGCAGCACTGATTCCAGGTGTTCCCGTGGGCTGTCCACAGTGGGATATCCCTCTGTCTCCATCGGGGAGAGCCAAAAGCTTGCCAGGCAAGGTGCTGGGGACAGACTGGTTTTGGGGGGTGAAGCCTGTGTTTTGCATTCCCTCCAAGCCCAGGTTCAGGGACCCGGAGCTTCCTGCCCAGCACAGGATGGGAAGAGTCATCATGAACTTCATCAGATACAGAATTATATAAAAAAGGAAAACACTCATAAAACTTACCCTGTTGACATCAGAGTGTAAAGCTTTAGTAAACTGTTTTTAGACAGCCTGGCTCCCCTCTGGTTCCCAGTGAAACCACCCGCAGGCTGTCCTCCCCCTTCCCCAAAATCCCTCTTACTGGGCGTTTGGAATGAGGAGAGACAAGAGTTGGATGTGTAGGCTCCCTGTGAGCAGCGTTCACCCCAAGATTTCAGCAAGTTGGTGCCAAAAATGTGACCTCCCCCAAAGCTTGGGTGGACCTCCAGAAGCGGTGATGGGGGTCCTGGGGAGGCAAGTGGGACACTGGCTTGTCCAGGGTACCTGCCTATGGATAGGGAGCAGTGTCTTGCCTGGGGTACCCATCCAGGACCCCTCCTGCTTTCTCCAGGTTTATCAGCTCCTCCTCAGCTCTTCCTACCTCCACTTTTGGAGATCTGATTGATTTAGTCAAACTTTCTTTTTTATGATCGCACCACATGTTTTAAGGTCATAGCTCAAAGCAGCTGGAAAAGCTTCCAGCTGATGGGAAAGAACAGGAAAAATGCTGAAAAGGGGGGAGAATGGTAAACTGGTATCGTGGGAATCAGGGAGGAATATTCTTGTCTCACTCTTATATTTAGCAACAGAGGGCTGCGGGCAAATATATAATATGCACATTCCTGTAGGATCGAAGGACAGGGTTAAGCTCACCCCGAGGAGCTCACGTCAGTTTGAAAGCTGGACAGGAACAGGGCTGGAGAGGAGGGAGGCTAACAGTCTGTGTGCCTAAAAAAAGCTCAAAGCACAGACTGTTCACAACAGGCATTGGCCCAGCCCAGTCTCGGCTCCCCGGGGCTGCTTCCTTGGCCCTTTCCAGGTGCCAGGCTCTGGCTTGTCTCCTTTTTGGGAAGCCAGCTTCCCCGAGCACTAGCATAACCCCCAGCCTTCAGCTGGGAAACTCCCAGGAACTCCTTACTCACATCTGTACAATTCCCAGGCCTCGCCTGGGTATCCCAAGCCTGGTTTGCCACCAGCCCCTTCACCATATCCTATCTCCAAACCTCCTGGAGACACGGAGCAAGGAGGGTGCCCATCGAAGCATCCTCATTCCCAAATCAGCCCTTCCCTGAGCTGTCTCCATCATGCCCAGTGCTTGGTTGGACATTGCCATGCTGCACAGGGGTGGGACACACCTGGGGTAAATAGAACAGAAAAAGGAAACTCAAGTTTTTATGCTATATTGAGCAATATAGCAAAATATTGTTATATATTGTTATATGAGAATATTTTTATATTACTTATACTGATAGAATATTAATATACTCTATAAAGTATATTCTAAATATATAAAGTCAGAGAACCCACTTTGCTCTTTCACAAAGCCTTTGCTTTGGAAAACAGAGTGAGGGCAGCTTTGAATTCTGCAAAGCCAGGCTTAGATCCAGAGGAGCGGGACTATGGTGGCTCTTTCCAACCCCAGGATGTGGAGAATGTAGGTTTGCCTTGCTGTTGCTCCTCCTCAGGACAGACCAAACAGGGCCTCCCAACGGCATCAGGATGGGATGGGAGATGTTTATGCCCCAAGCTGTGGATCCAAGAGGTTGATAAATTCTCATTTTCCATCCTTCCTCCCCGTGGTGTGTCACCCATTGTGCCAGTTGTGCATCGCTCCAGGCAATACCTCTGGGTGCACTTGGCTGCCTGACAGCCGGACAGACAGCCGGTGGCAGATGGAAAGCATCCCAGGGAAGGGATGCCAGAAGTTGCTGTGAGTGGAGAAAGTCATGGGGCAGACAGCATGGTTTGGAGGTGGCCAAGCCCACCACGTGTCTCCCAGACAAGGAGAGCAAAGCAATATTCATCCATCAGCGTGACTCACTGGCTGTGGAAGGAGCTGTTGTAAGCTGTGAGTCAGCTCGGGATGGCCCCGTGAATCCTTGCTGCTTCTTTTGCCCAAATCTTGGCTTTTTGGTAGTTGTTTTTCCTCTTTGCTGCAGGCAGGCAAAGGAGGGGGGTCTGGAGTCACCAACTGCTTGTGAAGCCCCCCCCAACCATGTTAAAGGATGCTCCCCATCCGTTTTCATGCCATAACCCCTGTGCAGTGCTGCCCAGTGCCGTGGCAGAAAGAGGTCAGGAGGAATTTCCCATTTTCTTTCCCAGCCTCCATCTGGGCTTCAGCAGGGCTTCAAAGTTTTCAGCATCCCATCCCACAGAAATTTCTGAGCCCACCAGGGTCATTTCCTCTGGGAGCTGGGGAGAAGAGAGGGAAGTCTTGGAACCGAGGTAGATGTGGCTGAGAAAAGCCTCCTGTCCTGCCCTGCAGCCCTGGGAGGGGATGTGAGCACCCGCTTCCACACCCCCACAGCCCCCGCGCCAGCCATGTGTTCCCCCTGCGCTAGAAATAGAGCAGGCATTTATTTTCTCTGTAAACATCACCCTGCCGGGTGTTTCTCATAGATGGAAAAGTCAGGGGATAACAGCAGTGGGGAGGGGAAGGCAGGGCAGGGAGGGGGATCTCTGGAAGGATGAGGAGAGGAGAGGGAGAGAAGAGGAGAGGAGAGATTTCAGCTCTAGAAAGAAAATACTCCTTTTCTTTGC